CAGGTTATGTACATATTCTATGGGGGAAGGAAAGAAAAAAAAGCTTTGCTTTTCTCCTGTTTTCTGTGTTTGGAGACTGTTGTTTTAATAAACAATTTTTTTATTCTCTGATACCTCCTTGTCTTTACATCAGGAGTGGTAATGAGGAGCCATCCCTTTCCACAGTTGGTGGGATATTGTAAAAAGAGCCAGAAGCATAGGGTTTGATTTCACCCTCCGAAATGTACTGGAAAGCAGCTTTTTTAGCAGTATTCAACCCAAAGTGGAACTCTGCAAAATATACAGGAGTATAGCAGTAATTCGTGCCAGTCACTGAATGCTGGGCCAACCATCAGCAGAAACACTGTGTGGCATCAATTATTTAACCATCAGTCCACTTCCTCAGAGCCTGATTATATCCACTTTTCTGAAGAATGAAAGGAACAAACATGGAAGAATGTCAATTCTTACAGCAAACCAGGGGCAGAAATTCCTTTAGAAAGGGGGATTGTTTGCTGTTTTAGGAGCAGGCATCCCCAAAACTGCTGCATCACTCAAATTATGGTAGGTGCAGGCGATGTGCACGTAAGTGAGGCTTCTTCCCCTCCAAAACACTCAAGGCACTTCTGTTGTCTGCCAGTCAGCTTTGAGTATTGCTTGAGGCTTACAGGATTGCTGTTGAAGCACTAGTCAGATTTTAGCTCAGTGTTTGCCCTAAGCTGTCCACTGCCAAAAACTAGATGGTGATGTCCTACACCAGAAAAACAGGTGTTGAAGCTGTGAGCTTTCCTAGAGCATAGTCTGTGGGCTAAGCATGAGTGGTATGTTCATGACAATGAAGGAAACTAGTCTCCCTCTTCCTTGGCAGTCAAGAGAGGAGGTCTTGGAGACAGCAAGCCAAGGCTCCCAGTCCTCCCTGAGCCTTGCCCTCCACCACAGCCTTTCCACTTGGCACTAAGGGAGAAAACTGGTTTCTCCACAGTTAGCCCAAAGGAGCAATACATGCCATAGCTCCACAGGCTTGTAAATGGGAGGGCTAAAAGGGCACTGACTGATGCACATTTTGCATGGCTTTTGGGAATACAAGTGAAACAATCACGCTGAAGCACTCAGTGGCCATGCCAGGGCAGGTCACCACACTACAGAGCAGCTAAGAGGGCTGAGAGCAAGGATGCTCTGGGCATGGTACAAGCCTCCCTGTACATTTTCATTCTTGCTGCTAGGGTAATTAATGCAGTCTTTCTTCGTTACAGGAAGCTGTTCACACAGCGTTAAACAGAAACATAAGGGAATAGTTTTGGAAGGAAATAATTGACTTCTCAGGCAACACAAAAGTCTAAACAATAGCAAATGGCATCTGGCTTATGTTAGGATGTACAGCCTCTGCAAATTACAGCCCAAATGAATTAGACCCATCCAAAAGTCTGATCAGTGTAATCTGATGTAGTCAACTTAATTCAGGATATGCCTCTTTGGGTCTCAGTGCAATATAAATAATAATAATAATAATAATAAAATAACAAACAGTGGCAGATTAAATATGTACAGCACCTTGGGAGAACTCTCCATCAGCTTCAGAATATAAAAAATAAGGAGAAAGTACTAAACAGCCACCAAGGCAAGTATGCAGCAGGTAAAGGGAAAATGCAACAAACAGTTCCTAGCACCACAACAGGACTGCCACAGAGTGGCTGCCAGAGCCAGCCCAGTTCCAAGGGAAGACTAGAGAAAAACAAGTCCACAGTCACAGAGCGACTCCCATAGGAGAGGAACGTCCCACAGACCATTCCACTACTATGAGCTGGGCTCTTGAATTCAAGGTGACCAATTGCTGAGTCCCTTCAACTGAATTTGGCCAGGTGAGTCTAATAGCACTCCTCTTACAGAGATTGCTTACAAAATTTTTCATAGGACTGAGAAAAAAGTGCAGAGTTTCACCTACCCATTTTTGTTACATGTTATTTGCAGGTCACTTCTTTTTCCTTCCTCCTCACCTTCTGACAATGTTGAAACAACTCTGGTTTAAATAGCAGAAGGCTGCTAAGCAATCTAGCTCAGAATGTTTTTATTACTGAGCATAAAGCTTAAGACAAAAATATTGCATTAAGAAAAAAAAATAGACAATATTTGTGCTGGATAATAGAAACAGAATGACTTAATTGTCTTCAAATATAAGTATTTCTAGCATAAAGCAAATACATGCACCACCATATGAGATGTCTCCCCCGTGTGTATGATACCTTAATAATTAGGGCATTCTCCATAGCTGAGGGAGATGAAATTCACTTTCCTCATAGGTTAAAGAGATTCAAATTCTTTGGAGAGTGAGATGATCACAGGATGTAGGTCATTTTGGGGTGGCTGTCTCTGATGTTCTCCTGAAACTGCTCAATGTTACATAAAAATGTAGTGTCCTGTTTCAGCAG